GCGACGGCTTGACCATTGCCTTTCTGATTTCATTATATTGTGAGAATGTATTTTCTCATACAATCAAGCAACTTTAACGTGCGAGACTTTTTATTAAACATGTAATGCTCGCCGAATTAATGCATACTATATATTTCATTAAGACATGTGCATTGTTAAATATTTCTTTCACATTAGATTTCCTAATTACTGCAAATCATTATTTAATTTATCTCTTCTAATTACAATGTATCAGCTTGGATCACCTTTATTTAATTTATTAATGCTACTTATAACATTTGACATTGGAAGATATGATTAGAAATAAAATAAGACTTAAAAATATATTGAGACAATATTTCATATTGCCTAATTTTGTGACTAATATTATGACAAATATTTTTAAACTATATGCATAAATAATCACCAATAACACAGATAAACAATAGATGAATTTTAAATTATTGTTCTATGAATTGAAAATCATTGCTTTACCGATCAATAAAAATTACAATTAATTTTTCAGCCATTCCAAAACTATTTAATATGATTTAATGAAATATTTAATTAATCTCATTTTCCTAACATAAATAATTTAATATACAATTTTTATAAATTCTGGGTCTTGCAATTCTTTTAAAAACTTTCATTCTCGTATGTAGAGATTACCTTAAAAGAAAATTAATAACAGTAATTAAGTAACTATGAGACTTTAATAAGCTTATAGATAAGAAAAGGTCGTGAAATCGATCTTGTAATTTTGATTTATTACGAAATGAGACAATTATGTCTCTCTGGCATACGCGTCATCTCGAGATATGCCGGGAAGTTGGGTTAGCGGGAGTGTTGATCGATGGCCACCCGTCAGTTGGCACCACTTTTAATTAAACTGCCCCCAAGATTAGCTCGCTCCCTCTTCTTCTCGAGATCGTTGTAATTGTTTTAAATCTTACTTCGTGGCAAGGCAGACGGTCCCTCCACAGTTTTGCCAAGAAAAAAACCGCACAACGGCAGGGTGACAGATTCCATGTCTCAAGTGGCATTTACGACTTCCTATAAAGCAAGAAAATCTCTTGTATAGTTTGAATTGTGTAATTAATTCATTTTTTAATTTATCTAATGAGATAAATGATGTAATTTGTATTGCACGAAAGCTTGTGTAATCGGTCTGACATACTCGAAATCTCTAGAATATTAATTCAAGTCCATGCTATGAATCTATATATTAAATGAAATTTTTGTAAATAATAGAATAAAGTCATAAAATGTTATAATTATGTCTCTTGGCTGTAAATTCCAACCTACCTCGAATGATAAAATAACAATACGTTAATTCGATCTTCAAAAATCGGCATTTTTTTTCAGAAGCTTGTCAGACAACAGACTAAAGTTAAGAATGCATATAGACGACCTTATGAGCAGCTGTCTGATAAAAGAATCCTCTTTCGACTCTTAAGAAGCGCCCTCGAGAGGAAATGTTCTATTTTTATATTTCATAATTCACTAGTCGCTAGTGCAGTTGTACACATGTACATACGTCACGTGAAATTACGTGTACGCTGACGTAACAGGAAACAGGAGGGAGAACTCGCGGTGCCCGTAGCCGACGATAGTTTGCCACTAAAGCTGAAGTGCCCAGAAGGTAATCTCGAGATGACAGCCAGAACAGCAGCGGCATCGAGTGGGATGGAGTGTAAAACTGACTAGGACCCAGGCCGAGCAGTGCAGCATCTCTCCGAGATTGACACCCCGTGTTGACTGGGCGAGGCACCGCGCGTCCCTTACATAGGATATTCACCCACAACATTCGTCTAAATGTTGTTGCCGCGTGCGGCGAGTTACCAAGAGATGTATGGTAAATTGTACGTGGCTAGCTTACAAATCCCAGTCCCTTCCTCCACCCTAAATTGCTCTTACGATCTCTCTCTCTCTCTCTCTCTCTCTCTCTCACTCTCTCTCTCTTTCTTTCTCGTCTCTTTTGCTCATTCATAAAGCCTAGGGCCGTTAAAGCACGTGTTCATTGCCTTTCAATCTATCACTAGACGTTGCTGCTCACATGCGTGAATTGGAACTCGTTTACCTACGCCCGCAAAAGGGTTCAGATAAGAGTTCTCTCGTTACCTACTTACTCCCTTACTTCGATGAACCAAGTCCAGACCTAGTAGTTGGAGGGATCGGTTTATAAGAACGCCGGTACTAAGGATACACATTCGAAGGAGTTGAGTACCTTACTTGGCTTCTCCATAAGTTCCATGCTTCTAGGAGTTGAAATGGGCGCATGAGAATACACAAAGTCTTTACGAGAAAGTGATACAAGAAGTTTATTTATCTCATGATGCTGATGGAGCTGTGGATTTCGGGTGCAATTATAACACGTGTTTCGAGAATGCACTATGCTTCTGCCAAGCTACTTATTAGACGAGGTAATTACTAAATTTAAGTGAATGCCATTTACCAAAGTAATGACTGTGATTTAGAGTACGTTTTTAGTAGAGTTTTTAGAAGAGAAACCATCGAAGATATCCAGAATTATTAGTTTTTAAATGAATTGGGAAACGAAAAGATTAATGTGTAAATTGAAATATAAAATTATAAACTCATTTCATTTAAGAAGGCTTCCGGTAAGTCATTTTATCTATTTTACGTAAGACGTAGTTTACACTCATAAATATAAATAACTCAATATTGTGCGAAATGTAGGAGCATTTTAATTAATTCTCAATCATAGCTGCATCATTATAATTAATATGTAGTTATAATAGAGATAATATTATAATAATAGAGACGTACCACATTGATTGCAAAGTTTAAAGGAATTTATAATATAAACTTGGGTTAAAAGACTTTATAATAATTATTAGAGATTTTTTTAAACAAAAATAAACAGCATATACGATAGATAATAAATGGTTGACTCAAATCATAAGATCACAAATTACTTTTTGTACGAATTTTTAAAATCTTATTTAGAATGATTAATTAAAGATTTATAATTATTTTTAAGAATGAATTCATGTAACTCATTTTATAATATCATTTATATTTATTTCTCTGGTAGATAACAAAATAGCGGTTATTAAATAAAACGTTTACAATATTAATTTATAAGAGAATATAGAATTATGAAACATTTAAATATTAAAGCAAGAAAACTAAAAGGAAAATTCAATTAAAATGAGTACTATAAGGTCGTATATATTAACTGATCTACCTTTCTCAACTTTTGTAATTTAATATCGTTCAGTTAGCATCAATTACATTTACTTTTACGTCGTTACAGTAAGACAATTTCTAACCGAATGAACAAAAAACTTTTTTAACTTATCTTAGCATCCAACTCTCTTCTAGAAATACTCCTGAAAGTAGAATATGAACTATAGTTACCTATTAACGCTGCTAGTATTTCTTTCAACCAAAGCTGTCGCGTTAAAACTTGGACATGTCATTGGAAGAATTTGCTGCCGGAGCTGGGGCTAAAAAGTCAATGCACCGCTGTTTGTATCGACCACGTTATAATTAGCCCCGATTGTCCGGTAGGCCAAAGCCTTCTATTTCCGTCGCCTAAATTTGCTATTTTCCAACGTACGTTCGAGATCAAAGACAAACTTAATTTCTCTCTCTCTCTCTCTCTCTCTCTCTCTCCCCTCTCTCTCTCTCTTCTTACAACAGTCTTTCTTTATTTTGTATTTATCAGCAAGACGTTGACCACATGGCTTTGCTCTCCGCTATTTTCGGCTCCTTCTAACTAGTTTCTCTCCTCTCTAACCCTCACCATAGTTCCCGCCCATCCACCCCCGCGACTACCTGTCCGGCATCTCACAAGTCCCGGTATTTGGTCGACGATTGCCGCTTGAACCACATCATGCTCTGGGTAGCCTTCCTGACGTTTGATTGCATAGTTTGGCCCCGCGGCGAGAAGAGCACTGATCTTCCCACCCCTCTGCATACCTCACTCCACCATCAGTTCCTGTTCTGACTATTTTTGTGCCGAGAGGAACGCTGTCGACGCTCCATTCCTGAGTGCCCGTTGATCACAACGCGTTATTTGTTTCCGTAGATATTATGATTAATATTGTCTAATGCAATCTCTTCGTTCAGTAGTACAAAGTGTTCTTATATAATATAAAGCGAGGATAGTTTTTAATTCAATGCAAAGTTTTAACAGTTGCCTGATTTTGCGTTTGTTTGGCGTTGTTTTTTTGATATGTCGATCTTTTTGTAACGCCGAAAAATGATTACCACAGTTATGTTACTCTATCAGTGCTAGAAATAAAAAAAATTCCGTTTAGCATAATGGCCTAGTCCTTTCCTTAGAATTTCACAATTTTTTACTTGTCTATAAAAACAAATATTCTAAATTGAATGGTGTAACGCGTTTATAATTTTACATTAATCATAATAACCCGCGATAATTATCAATAATAAATGTGAAAATCGTTTTTAACTTCAATAAATAAATATATTATTGAACACCCATTTACAAAGAAGTAGGTCACAATTTTTTCAAAAATAAACTTTTTTAAAACTAAACTTTCTAAAAGATATTTGAAAATTGTTAAAGTTTCACCTACATCAAATATTTATTCACAAAATGTAGCTGCCACAGTATGTGCAAAGTAAGTGAGAGATTAAATTTGGCACATAAAATAATCCAGAGATAATCGAAACAATAGTTTTATGATACACCTTTTATGTGGACTTGTTTACATTTATTTTTCCCATCAATGTATCGAATTTTACTGTTTTTTTTACTGTTTACAATTTTTAATGTTTATTGGCATTTATATTTTCTCACTAAAATAAATTAATAAAAACTAAATTATAATTAATTCAAGATTTATAAAACTAATCAAACATCATATCATACTACCAAATCATTTTTAATATTGAACGATATCACGTTTATACTGTTTAATACTTTAATAATTTCTTGAATATATTGTTTTAATATTGATATACTTTAAATTACCTATTAATATCCTTATAATCATATAATTTTGACGACAAGATAATTGTAATAATGTATATAACTTGTTCTTATTTTTATATATTCTCATTTCTGTAAATAAATGAATAAATAATCAAAGGCGTAGATATTAAATATAGAATTTTTGTTGCTGTATAAATTTTGGTTTAAACCATCATAGATTTTCAAATTTTTTCTATGACAGTTAGGTTTTTGTTATTTTGCTCTGGATTAACTATGCTTCGAATTGTATGAATTTGCATTAATTTGTTTAATATTTTTGAAATTACAATAAAAATTTTATTTCCTATTTCCGGAAATGTTTATATATATAAATAATTTTATATAATGAACAATTGTACAAATAATTTTTCCGTAGAGTGTTAATTTATACATATCTCATTCCATCAATAAGTTTATATGTATGTTTTCATCTATTCATACAATTCGAGAATTATTGGTACAATATAAATCTACAACAATAAATATTATTTAATAGAATACAAAAGTATGGCGTTTTCAAAACATTAAATGAATTACTAAGTTTATAAAATAAATTAAAAATTTTTTTTTAATATTATAATAGGATAATAAACAACATAATTGGATTGAATAATAGGGATATACCTTATTTTGATTCGACACGGTTTGCACAATGTTTCCATATAATATATATATATATATATATATTCCCAATTATAATAAAAGAACTTGTTGCAGTGTTTCGAAAAGATTAAAAACCCCTTCATTCTAAACGTTACTTCTTTTTCAGAACATCATTTGACTATTAATTTAAAATTGATTATCAGCAGTTAATCAAAACTAACCCAACATTCAGAGTCGATTGTTAACGACTGATGTTTTTTTATAAGAGTATTAAACTCAACTATTTCGAAGCTGCAAATATATCATAATTTTAATTCCAACCATTTAAACATTTATTATTTTGATTAAAGAATTAAAAATTTCTATCATTGTAAGGTATATTTTGAACTAAAATGTAGGTTCCTTAATATATAAAAAGCCATTGATTGCTTTACAAGATTTAAAAGCTTAAATTTATCCAGTTACATATTACACAATAAAACATAATTAAAAATTTAAAATGCAATAATTGGAAGACGCTTAGAATAAAGTAAAATAATTGTAAAATCTTCTTCTCAATAGTTGATTTGTGACTGATTTACTCGACCTGTTTTGACTGTAATAAAAAACGGATCTCATTCAAATGATTAAAAATAAAGTTGACGAATACTTGTAAAACGATTGCGATTGCTACAGAGCTCAATTTGAATACAGAAGCAGTGGGCGTCTATGTATGTTCACCGAACGATTTCACTTTGTCATCTCCAGCTCATCCAAGCGTCTTTTCTTCGTCGACGGGCTTGCATTATGAATGCGAGCCAATTTAAAATTCATTACGAAGAAGAGTCGGGGAACGGCTGTCACTCTAGTCGCGGGCGCTGCCTCACCTCGCTCGAAGTAATTGTTCGTCTCTGAAAGAGCGTAATAGAAAAGCGCGAAAGCGCTCGTACCCCCGGGCCAATTTCCGCTACACCCCTTCACAGTTTCTTGTTTATTTAAATAAAGTATGCGAGAAGGGTGAGGGTCACACATAGCGAGAAAGAGAGTGTGCGGGGGAGAGGGGATGGCTGGGAAATGGATGACTGAGGTAAAATACGTAACGGGGGAGAATATGACACCTTCCGGAACTTTTTCCAGCATTAGCTTGCTAGTATACTTTATTTCCTTCTTGCTTTTGTGGGTAAAATAGAGTGGCACCTAACCGCATACACGAACTCTTTCAAGAACAAGAGCCAAGCAATTGGAACTATCTGTAGTTACGTGGAATGAGTATGAAAACAGGGCGAGAGCTACGAAAATAAAGAAGCCTCTTTCAGAAATACGGAAACGAGTTGCTTATATTTCCTTGAGTTTTTTCCAGTGTTTTGCTTTCGTCTTATGTATTTTCTTTATTTGTAATAGAAGATTAAGCATATTGAATAGTTCGTAGGCACGGTCACGTTTACTTGCCGGCTGTTTTTGTTACTTTTAGTAGGGCTTAAAGTGTATCTTTACCTAATGACTTGAAAATCAGAAATCCCATTCCTGTCGATTGTGTTTATTTTAATTTCAGGCAATTTATTATAAATTAATAATTACAATTTATAATATCTAGCCGTTTATTTACACGAACTATTTATCATTTTTAATTCACATTTCAAAGGACTAATTTCTACATTTTGAACGACAAGATTATTACGGGAAATATGTAAAATATTTAATTC